TTGTGGTAGGTAGGTATACTGCTCGTTAATCAGAAGATGACTACAAAGCAAATTCCTGAACGGTGCGCTTGGCGTGCATTAATCATAATGCAGTAAATGCGGGTACGAGGGTCGTTATACGATGCGAGCTTGAAACGTAATATTTTCTTTAAAAGCGGTAAACAAAACTTCGTGTTTATTGTTGAATGTGCAACGACGTTGTCGCGTGTTGAAAATGGAGTTTCCATGACTCAACGATATCAGAGTGTGAAGAGACGTGAAGTGAGACGATGTCACATGCTATGCATGTGGGAAAATGTTACACTGTCTGTCGTTTTACATACGCAATGGAAACGCTTTACAAAATGGAATTACGTTCTTATCTCGAGAAAAGCGGCAAATAGTTCGTTTGCCTTTACCATTTCGATGGGATTTCGATTATCGCGATTACAAAGTTAGATCGACAAAAGCGAATGACGGTAGGTCCACGCAGACGTGGGTATTACCCAGTTATGTATTGTCCCTTCCGTAACAAAAAAATCTCTACTCGCAGCTTTTGCCATTCTATTCTTTCCTTACTTTAAAGAAACAACGGTTCGAGAAGATAAATGCGCTCGTTTTCTGTAGCTCGACTTCGAGGAAGTCTTAATGCGAAGAACCGCCATTTCTTTAGAGTTTTTGCACCGATTTCTGGTTCCCCTGGTTGGTTACTCAGGAACCACCTTATCTTCAGTTCGTCCGTATTTTATGAAATCCTAAAGCATGATATAATATCTCTGCTTCTAAACGAGAACTGATAGATACCGAGTTGAGCGGGCTTTAGGTACCGCTTTGGGATCATATTTAAGCTATTATCTTTTTTTATTGCGATATAAAATTTTTTTAATCGTTCATAATCTTAATTTTATTAAATATGAGATAGAAAACTATTTTGTTTCATTACATGATAATTAAATTATGAACATCGTTACGCCTGCAGTAATTAATAGCCGAAAAACATTAATCCAATAATTATATTAAATAATATGCAATGAAATAATTGCAAATGTTTTCCGATAACGTGTATCATTATTATTCTGCAAAATTATAAAATACACAAAATTTATGTGTGCTAGCGGACGCGTTATCCACATTGAAATGTCAATATTGGCTGACAAAATTGCGAGGTATGGACCTCGTGAAATCGCTAGTACCGCGCGGAAAATTTATCGAATTACATTCTATACTTTCGGAACTGGAATACCTTGTATTTCTTGTTCGACCGAAAGAGGACAGCGTCTTGCTACGATAAATGCTCTCGTTTACCAAAGCTTTAACGTCGGGTCAAAGGTCTGCTTCCCGTCTGTACAAAACTTTTCACGCTCCTTTATTCTCTTTATTTTTTTGTTGGAAACCACTGTCAAATACAAAGTTCCTCGATACGGTAACTCAGGCAGCCCGTCGCGATACAGCCACCGGCGAAAAATATGACAGGTTGGATATTTACGAACGTTTGTGGCGTCGACAAGAAGACTTCGAAATAATCTTGTATATTGGATTAAAGCGAATATCTATATTATATAATACAGTGTATGATTGGTTATATTCCAATTTGAAATAAATAATTTTATCAATCATAAAAAATAAATTAACATTTCGTAACAAATCATTGAAATCATCATAACAAAAAGAATGATTTACAATCATCACAACTCAAAAAAGATGATAAAAATGACAAAAATGATAAGAATATATATATATATATATAAAATACTCGATTATATTAAGAATACATTATTTTTGTGTGATATTATGTGATCAGTTAATAATTTTTTATCAAATTGAATAATGTTTTTTTCTTCTTTTCTAGAAAATTTAATTTTATTATTGTGCCATTTTTAAAATAAAGGGAAGAATAATATATTATTGTTTATTATAATATATTTAATTATATGCTTATTTGAGTTTTTTTCTTTCATATTTATTTATTTTAAATAATAAAAATTTAAATAATAAAATGATATTTCTTTCTAATTTTGTAATATGTTTATATTGAATGTATTTTCGATACAGAAATATTTTTCTACTTTTGCGTTTACTAAAAATGTAGTTTAATTTTAATAGATCTATTTTGTCGTATATCTCCGAATACAAAACATATCTTAAGAAAGCAAATTCACACTACTGGTCGAATCGCTTCCATCTTTCCCTCATCCACTATACTTTCTCTGACATTGTCGCGACAGTACATCTGATTCGAATATATACCCTTGCTTCGTTCTCGCCTCGCCAGTTCCGATGCAAAGGCTCGAGTCTTTGATGGTTGCGACGTGCAAATATATGATGGAACGCGAACACGACTGTAAAGGAGACCGATTTAAATTCCATGAGTGTAACATATAACGGCGTTCCCATTTTCACTTATCTCGCGAGCAGAATCTCTTCATCGCAACACGATGATGATCGCGATCATGTAATATATTTTTAGCAATATTACTGCTTTTGACCGATATTCGTAGTCAATGCTTATATTTAACCGCTGAAATGTAGTCTCTTAAAATGTCATATAGGTCAATCACAGAATCGTATTAACATTTTAAGATATTACTTAAGACAATCATAAAATAAAAACTGGCTAAGAATATTAATTTTCCTTTTAGGACACATATGGTAGATAAAATGTTGGTCGACTTTTATGCCATTTATGAAAAGTCCTTGACAATGTTTATAATCGTATACATGGGTATGACACACTTTTTTTCCATTGTTTTCCATAAACGACACAACAGTCGATCGACATTTTAGTCTACAGTGTATGCTTGCCCAAACTAAAACTTGCGATAAAATTGCATTTTTCAAATAATTTCAAATGAGAGATCTGAATGAATCAAATGGGTTTAAATTTTAATAGATTGGCTCTATATTTCTATATCAGACGCGAAAGAAGAATATATTCGTCTAATTGTTTTGTAACATCTTCTGTAAAGGAAAAAAAGGAAATCGATGAGAGAATTATGTGCAATTTCACTGGTGAAAACACGATGAGAGTAAAGGCACGTTAATTGGCGTTCATCTGGAAAAGGTTTACCAACGGTTGGAGTGTCTACAAGCTCGTAGCAAGGATGTGTGAAATGTCGGTGAGTCAGAAGGGCTAGGGGAGCTAATTACCCCGCAGGAAAAATTCCTTGGCACATGCCGGCTAACGGCGAATCCCGAGGTGACGCGTACTATCCTGTTAGCGTTTTCATAACTTTTCAACAGGATGTTAATTGGATTCCTTTTTCTCTTCTTGACCTCTGTCTCTTATCTCTTTCTCTTTCTCTCTCTCTCTCTCTCTCTCTCTCTCTCTCTCTCTCTCTCTCTCTTTCCCTTTTTCTCCTCTACTCCCATTGTCGTATATGCTTGCTCGATGGTGGCTTACTTTATTTCGAATTTATTACGTTGCTTAATTGCTGTTTTATGATTCTTTTGTTGGCGCGCTGAAAATGCCCGTCACGTCGAACGACAACGAGAAACGTAGTTCAGAAGTATAAGGCGAAATATTAAACCATAATTTAAAAAAAAAAAAAATTTTTTAAATCGCTCTAATTAAAATTTTTGCCAGAGCTTATGATAACTTGAGGTAGACAAGATGACATTTTAAATCTATGCATTTTAATTAAACCTTTTTATATGAAAAGATAGTAAAATCGAAATTTTGTTAAAACGTTCAAGAAATTAAATTTTACAAAAAGAAAAGTAACAGTAACATTCAATAATAATTGCAAATTATATATTATATATTATACAAGTATCTTCTTGACCGACGTATATGTTCGATAAATCGGATTTATCGGATTTTATCGGATCACATTATATAAAAGCGACAAATATGTAATTATCGCCGATGCAACCTGGATTGCAACCTGTTGGTCACTTGCCATATTTTCTCAAACATCAAATGGCTTTAATATCAGTAAAGATTCCTTTCGGCGACCTCGGACAATGAGACCTCTCAAGTTGATCCTTATAACTCCCGCCTTAAGCACTCGCAATACCTTAAGATGGTTTTATAAGAGTAAAGTTGCGAAAGTACGACACGTAACTTTAAGGCGGTACTTATACGAAGCTCGTAAAACTTTCGTGTCATTTTTAGCATAATCGTAATACACGTCGAGTAGTTCGTGTTCGAGCGGCTAATTGGGTATTAATGAAAACGTACAAGAAGAAGCTCTGGCAAAGTTACAATTGGCTCCGGCTACTTGGAATAATCTTTCTGAACATTTTCTCATTACTACGTATAAGAATAAGGAAACTGAGCAGAGAGTTTCTGCGACATTGCATTTCGAATAATAACGCAAATCCAAGATGGAAATTGCCAAATTCATATCTGGCTCGTTCCAACCGCAATATACTAATGTTTATTGTATATGCAGTTACAAAACCCTTCCAATTTCCATCTTGGATTTACATTACAATCCATTGTAAAACGTGACTGCAATTAAACTTCTTCATATCTAAAAGAGCGTGTAATTTAAACAAAGCTATTCTGCCTAATTGATTGGTTAAACTTAATTGACAACAAGAACAATCGCACGTAATGATGTTACTTTGATAATTGATAATTACGCTAAATTGCTTAGAACAACGTTACAATGTTATTTGAGAAATGGCTTTCTAAGTTTCAATAAAATTTTCTCTCTACTTCTCATTTATCTATCCTATTTATATACACATCTATTCATATACATATATCTATCACGGAGAGAATTTTTTCTTAGAAAAAGTTTACCTTGAAAATATGGATAGTTGTAGAACAATATTGTATTTCGAAAAATTTTAATGTAAATCTCTCTCTCATTCATTAATAAAACTATAATAAAATATAAAATAAGTTTGATTAATTTTACTAAAGTGCATGATAAAAATCTTCAAAATATTATATTGTATCACAACTATCATATTTTCAGAGTAAATTTTAAAAGAAAATTCTCTCCTTGTACACATATAATATTACATATCTATCTTTTATCGAGTAAATGAATAATTGAAATAAACCTTACCAATAACTGTTAAATTGACTTTGGAGTTTCTCGTCTGGCCAATTTGAAAATCGACACGACACCTGTAGATACCGGCGTCCTCTTCTCTCGTGTTCTCGACGCCTAGTAACGCCGGTTGCTTGTCCAGCATGAAATAGGCGCGATTCGAGAATACGCTGTTGTCCGACCATCTTTCAGCGACCCCAAATTCCCGGTTCCTGGCGTCGATGCTGTAACAAAAAATCATATCGATAATAAATGGACGAGTCAGGTATTGGCAATTGTGAGCTGTTTTGTGTTAATCTTCTATAAAAAATGCACAATCCGCCTCATGAACAATATAGAGGAATACTTATAATGAATACGTATTCGTTTCTCTTCTTCCGTTTTCGGATAAAAGGGAGCTTATGATATTAAGCTGTATCAAAAGTATTTTAGCAGAGAATTTGATCGTATTAATGTCGCTAAATTATAAATTCTCTCACCTTTTGATATTACATATTAAAATGTACGTGTAAATGAATTTAGTATGCAATAATGATGATGATAATGTGATAATTTCCGTTTCAGAGATGCGAATCGGAAGATTAAATTGTGTTGGAATTAAAAAGTGCGAATAAAATTCCATTCATCAAGATAAATGCTTTTGTAACGTCATTAAAAAATGTAGGTCATGCAAAATGTATTATTATGTACACAGCATTTTGCAAGAATATTTTATGACGTAGTCAACCGTTTACAGTCATGTGAATAATCCGACAGACAGACATTTTCGAAATGCTATATTATACAGTTTACGATATGTATCATCTACAATAATAAGCACGAATGAAAATATCTGAAAAATGCGCCCGATGAATTATAGTGAGAATAATTTCATGGTAGATAAAATACTCGTTACGGGAATTGTTGTAAACACAAAATGTGGCGAATGTTTGCACTGAGGAAACGAACTGCAAAACCGATTGTTTTACCATTCTCGTAAAACAGAGATTTTTCCGTCGCCGCAATGTCGCGTCGTCGGTTTTGCGCCGACCCGCTAACTTTTCTCTTTCTTCGCGCGATCCCGTCATACAACGAAGTTTTCGCGTTTTTGTCGCGAGATCTTATTTTTTTATCGGACGAGCTTCGCTCAAAGCCTCATTTGATTCGATACAAGGAGGATATTTAAAATGGCGTAAAAAGTTTCTACAAAGACGTTGGGCGTCTGACGAAGGCGAGGCGAAGGCATTAAAGACACTGAACAGAATGTTCTATTTTTGCCTTCTATTTTTACTTTCTTAATGATAATTTTTTTGACATTTTCATCGTTAATCTTTCTTAAAAGAAGATGACGCGACATTTATAGTTTCTAAATAGATATCAAAAATAAAGAATTTCCAATAAATTAAGCTCTAGTAAAGATGAGAGATAACAAAATAATTCTTCAATTAATTTTAAATGACTCCTACTTCAAAATAGAGTTTAGATTAAAGATATATGTATTTAAGATATAATAAATAAATGTATTTTTAGAGATGAGTGATATATTTTTAACGAGAAAATCTATCGTACTATCTGATCGCTCATTCAATCCTGACGTTTTGAATATCGAAATTTTGGCATTGAAGGCACAAAAAAATCGCAAACGGATTTCGCTGCCATAGACTTTAACGATTTTCTATCGATACACGGACGGCCACATGTATTCGTATTGCATTTGTCAATTATCAATCGGATGAGTTTAATTCGATGCTTAATTTTAAAGGATACGTGGTTCGGATGATGATTTTAACGGCAGGTGTCATTACCGCGGTAATTTCGATTAATGTTTATGAGCGTTGTTCCACCGCAACCGGCAGCCATGGACGAATTCATCAGTCCACACGAAGGAATAAATTAAAATCCACGAGGGATTTCCCACTGCATAGTTTAAATCGCGTTCTAACCCCGGCGCGTTATCGCAGCCGTTGTAATTGGCACATAATTAAAGTTCCTCGGCTGATCATTATATACGGGTAATCATTATTTCAAGCCATGAACGCTATCAAATTGTAATAATTATACAGCTATAATTGATTTCATTTCACGGCGATTGCGTTTCTCTTTCGCCGTTAATTACCGCCTAATGATTTACATGATGTGACACGGATTGCGTTGCAGTTTTTAAATAAAATTTCTCAAATTCTGCTGATCTGCGCGATTAATGCGAATGTTATTAACATTCCGGATTGCAAATATCGGATCCGGCGTGTTCATATTCCCCATTCGCTCGATTGTTATTGTTTGGGAAAATGCAAGTATTTCGCTACTTAACCGCGAATAAACGCATATCCACGCGGCATTCAAACGAACGAATCCGCTTAAAATGCCGTTGCTATTTTTCCTGCTTTTTAAGATCCGTATGCTACCGCGTGACGAGTTTCTCAGTACGTGTATCGTAACGTTTGAAAAGGATTTTAAAATCGCGAGCTGAGGACACTCCAGCGTCAGCCGGCGTTTCTGCTTTTCTATGAAAGGAAGCGGATAATGGTGTGGGCGGGGGCGAGAGTTGCATGTTAAGCACACCGTTAAGTGCTTAACCATAATACAGCCACTGCTAATCTGCGTTGCAGATAGAGAGGCTTGTTTATGAAAAATGCAATACAACGTCGACGTACAATAATTTTAATAAAAAGCGAGGATCTAAAATAGAGTTAGGATTTGCCGAAGGATTAACGAGAGCTGCGAGATGAATTAGTTATTTGTACCTTCCGTTCGCTTTGTGATTCTCGTTCATAAATTCTTTCTATATCTGATTACGATTCTTCTCTATTTTTAAAAAACTAAGCTACTTACCGCTCGCCATTTTTATTCTGCTCTCTATATGTGCGACGACGAATTTTTCATATTAACGTATTTAATTGTAAGTCCTCAATATCGCAACTGAAACTAGAATGTGACTAATTTACCATATGTAAAAAATTTTAACTCAGCGAACTCAAAGTTACACATAACGTACTTATTAGTTATAATACCTCTTATAGTTATAATATAACTACTATAATATAAACGTGTTATATTACAGTTATATTGTTGAGTAGGAAATTATAACTAACAAGTACATTACATGTATTTGTGTTTGCTTGGAAAAGACGCAAAAATGGCGATATAAATTTCTATATATTTTAATTCATTCGCTACTAACGACTAATTATTTCTTGTTATTATTTTATATGTCGTAAAAGAAATTTTTTATTACTAAGGCATTTTTTTCTTTTGCCTCGAACACCAAGATGTCTAATTTTAGCTCTGTTGTAGATCTGCACATCAAATTATCAATACCGAAATCATCACGCTTCGATTATTTGAATTCCCTATGAAATCGATTCATGGAAGATTCAGCACTTGATTGTACTATCGACGCGATCACAATTCGTACATACAGACGTATTTTGAAGAGGAACACAATGAAAAATACAATGATCGTTCTCTATTCGATATTGTCAATGCCAAGTCGCGAAGCGAGATTCGATCTCAACGGGAAATACACATGCGAAACGCGAAACGATCCCAACTTCGAAACGTCCGGAGCGTGACAATAGTGCCATGAGACTTGTTCGAAACGACTAAGCGACTTGACTGTGCGAGTCAAGGAGAGAAACAAGCGTTTGGTCGGAGGAGCGTCAAAACAAAGGCGATTGCTCCTACCTTTGAACTTGTTGTCCTCATGGTGAAAACGACTGATTGATTTCTCACTTTAATGATATTATCAAAATTATTGACAACAGTTTGCAATACTCAGTTTGTCTCCTATTACTTTTGGTTGCCGTGGCAATCTTGTAGTTGCTTATCGAAGTTATTTGAAATGCTTGTAAAAGGTAATTATAAAATTTAATAATAATATAAAATTTTAAGTATCGAATAATTTTGACATCGAATAATTTATTCGCGAAATTCATTAACATATTATCTGCTTAACGAGTTTTACGTGTCTTACTGTGTACGTCACAGTATAATGTATTCATTATCAGAAAATATAACAATGAAATATCGTGTATATAATATTGAATGGTATATTCTTTATGGCGAACGACGATAAATAGCTAGGTAATAATAATTATCTAGTTATTTGTGTTATTTGCTATTTAATATTCTTTATTAAAAATTAAATTCTATAAACAAAATTAAAAACTAATTCGAATTGATTCTTGAAATATTAATACAAATAAAAATTAATACGAATAAAAAACGGGCAATTAAGAGCATTAATACG